CATTTGGGACTTATATGCCCGATTGTGTCCTTATTGGTGGTATTTGTGACTGTATGACTATGGGGTGAGTATGAATTGATTGCGAGATGTGTTCAGATTGTTTGAATGTGACAGAAATAGTTTGTTGGAGATTTAGCAAGGACTATTGGGTGTTTAACTTCTGTCTTGAGTTGGTGTACGGCCTCGAGCTATAGGTGTATTGAAGGACCTCTCATGTAGTATAATTGTGGAGTAGGTAGATTTTTATGTTGTGTCATTAGTTCTGACCAAGGAAGATTTAGTGATTGCGTGATGCTTATGATGGTGGAAGGGTATAAAGAGATGTTAGTTTGAGGCGAAGTAGGTGGGTTATCTCCTGCGGGGTGTTCTGAGGTTTGTGTGATCCCTATGTTGTTTGTTGGGAGTCCTCTTTTACCAGAGAAATATGCGTGTTGCAATCTGATTTCAGATCACTTATGAGAGTGGGCTTGACTGTTACGAGGGTGAATGCGAGATTTGCAGATGATTTGAAATACTAGATGGTTTGTGTTGCATGAGCTTATGAAGAATTTAGTTGAATCTCACTATGGTATTATGGTAGTAATAGAGTATGGACATTGTAAGTTTTTGTGTGTTTTGATCTATGACTTTGAGTTAAGTTGGAGAGTCTGCTATTGATAAGTTCATTGCACGACTAAGTGTCGTATTAGTTTCAGTTTGATGTATACTGGTGAATCAGTTATGACTTGCAGAGGTTGAGATCAAGTATGACTCGAGTAAAGGGAATTTATGGATATGAGTTGTATTAGGTTTTATGAGTATATGAGAATCATGGAATGATTTGAGTTGTTGTTGGTGAAGGATGTAATGTGCGTAGAGCAAAAATTTATCTAGTTGCATTAAGGTGGGGTTACATCCTTGGGTGTTGGAGTGCTAATGAGGCACATGTCGATTGGCCCATTTGATCACTCTAATTGAGATTTGAGCAAAGTGGATAACTCTTGAGAACAGTTCTAATGAATTCAAGATTTATATGTGGCAATTGAGAGTTTTTGCAGGTTTGTATGTGGCTAGAAGTTGAGAGTTACATTGGATGGTGTCGAGGCTCGCAGTATTTCTACATCATTGTGGATTCTACATTTTAGTATCAAGAAAGTAAGATGAATAACTTGAAATTCACAGAAGGTCTCTTCGGAGTAGGTATCTCGGTTGTGGTACTTTTTGGGAGCTTAAGAGAACATTCAGTGGCTTATGAGCCTTAGGGCAGTGTGGTTTATGTTAGTGTCTTGTGTGATGAGTCTGGGTTGAGTATTGAGGTATTATGTCGAGGAGAAGTATCAATGTGAATGCAATTCCGAAGGAACTCGGATAGATAGGACAGCTTGGTAGTAGGTTGGATCGACATGGTAATGGGTATGATTAGTTCTTTGGGTGTTTATGAGGTAATGAGTTTCTACAGGTGTTTCGTGGCAATGCTCTTGCGTTTGGTGACCTGCATAGCTTGGTTGGGTTAGAAGGATCCAGTCCAGATGGTTGGGTTTTGAGCAAATGGGATTCAGAGAGTTCTTGATGGTTTCTACCACAGTTAGAGAGGTATATCTTCTACTAGCGTGAGGAGCATGTGATGTATAGTGATTATCTCCTAGATGAGATTAAATGGAAAGTTCTTGGCTGTTGAGTACATAGTTTCTTGTAACTTAGAGTGGATTATGAAGTTCTCACATTTATCATGGGATGTCATGGTATATGCAGTATGTTGTGTAGGGTTGAGATTTGCATGTGTAAGGTCATGGTTCAGTTCTGAAAGGAAGATCATAAATTCTTAGGCAGCATGGATAGTTTCAGATGACTAGGTAAATGATATTACTAACTGGTATGGCTTGATGAGAGTATACATTTTAGAAAGAGCGATATGTGGGAGTTATGGATACTTCATTGGTATTGCGAAACTCTCTTGTCTGGTCGACTACTGGAGTTCAAATTTGGCTTTGTGGCACAGAAGAATTTTAGAAGTATTCCTCGTGGGGTGACTGTGTAATTGGAGAAGTGTGGGAATTCAGGCAGTGGAGTTGAGATCAGAGATGGTGATTCGTATATTCAATGGATTTGGAGACTGAGAGTTCTCGTGAGTAGATTGTTTTGTGGTTGTGGACCGTAAAATGTAGCCAAGGTTAGTCAGAGGTTAGTATGTGTTCTGATTCAGTCATTGTAGACTTTCAGAGGGTTATTTATCTATCGTGGGGGACCAGAGCTGATTTGGGGTTCATTGGTAGGCCTAACATGGAGGTGTGTTCTGCACCGGGTAGGATTTGTTGACTCCGAACTGCTATTATTAAGGGATGTTCCATTCAATTGTTTTTGAGCTTATTCGTGCTCTGGAGTGATCTATGAGCTACTCTTCTGTGTTACGAGGGATTATGATTTGCTGGTTATATGCACATCTGGTGCGGTCCTATTAGGGTCTTATAGCGAAATTTGAGCGGGAAAAGTATTGGGCATTGCTTGGTGGATGGTGTATTGGTTATGCTCTTTCGGGTTTTGTGTGGCGTTATGTCATTTGCTTCACTGTGGTTATGGTAATGCACTTTGAGTGCTTGATGTCGAATTGCGCGTGGTTATTGATTTTGAGCAAGGTGGCTTGAGGTATATGCCATGGATTAGTGTTTGGATGGGGCACACATTGCAGCTAAATTATGTTAAGGTATCAACCTTTGTGTTATATTCATGTGATAGTCCTACGAGGTGTGATGGATTTTCAATATTTCGTTGTGGCAGTACTTGTTAAGCTTGCGGGACAATCCTCTCGTCTGAGTCATTGTTTTTCATGATTTGAGTACATTTGGGATGTTGCTATTGGGTGCACGAATTGCACAGGTTATGATTTTGGATTGTATTGATGTGTCATGTTATCAAAGTGGTCGTGTTAGATGAGATGAGATAATTGGACCTAGAATGAATACTATCAGAATTGTTTCCAACATGGTTGGAAGGATAATAGTCAACTTAGAAATCTGGTATAGTTCCTGTCGGAGAAAATGGAGCTCCATGACTTGTTAATCTGACGAATGGTTATGAGTTTCTATGTGTTTATTTCATCATTGGCAGTGTATGAAAGTGTTAGAATGAGGCTTTATTTGTTAAGAGATGTATTACCGGTATTAGGTTGTTTTGAGCAGCTACTATGATTAGGGGTTATCGCCATGAGTGTTTGAGTTATGTGGTATATCATGTGATTACATCTTGGGTTACGAATATGGTTTGATACAGCTTGTTCGAACTTATACAGTGTGTAGATGCGAGGTTCTGATCTTATAGAAAATTCTGGATGTTAGAAATTGGACCCTAAGACTTATGGACTAGGTTGGATTAGGAAATTTCAGCCATGTGGTGTTATTAGACATATATGGGATAGGGTGACGTGGGATCACCCCTCAGTATGTGCATGTGAGATAATACAACAAGTTGATGGCTTTTGGAACAACTCTAGGCACGTTCGAGGACGAACGTATGTTTAAGTGGGGGAGGATGTAATGACCCACCTGCTCATTTTGAGCATTTGCACTTTGCTCAATTGTTTGAGGGCATGAGTAGCTCCGTATAAAGTATTATGACTTATGTGAATCGTCGTTTTTGGTTTTCAGGTTATTTGGAATTGATTTGGAAGAATGATTCTCAGCTAGAAGCTTTAAATTTGAAAGGTTTGACCAAGTTTTGACATTTTAGAATTTGACCTCAGCTTGGATTTCTGATGGTTCTGTTAGCTCCGTTGGGTGAATTTGGACTTAGGAGAGCGTCTGGTTTCTGATTTGGAGGTCCGTAGCAGAATTAGGGTTGAAATAGCGAAAGTAGGAATTTTGAAAAGTTTCACCGGGAGTGGACTTTTGATATCGGGGTCGAATTCTGATTCCGAAATTTGGAGCAGGTCCATAATGTTAAATGTGACTTGTGTGCAAAATTTAAGGTCAATCAGACGTGATTTGTTAGGTTTCGGCATCAGTTGTGGAAGTTTGAAGTTTCAAGTTCATTGATTTCGAATTGAGGTATGATTCGTCATTTTGATATTGTTATGTATGTTTTAAGGCCTCATGTATGCCCGTGTTATGATATGAGACTTGTTGGTATATTCAAATAGGGTTTCGAGGGGCTCGAATGAGTTCCGGATAGGTTTGGTTTGTATTGCGCTCGTTTTTTATGTTTCGACGTTGTTTTCAAGCATAAATGGTACTACATTAAGGAAATAAACTCTGATTTCTGTTTTTATTGAAGCATTAGGTCCTGTATCATAATTACCGAGCTATAACAAAAAGAATCATCAAATTTGGACATCATATGAGGATTTTATAGTTATTTTACTAAGAATTGAGTTGTTAGATTTTGCAGATTAATTACGAAATTGCCACTGAATTCGTATTTAAAAATTTGCACTATTTTCGAATATTGAAACCAACATATCTCCTTCAATATAACGTCAAATGGAGTTATTTAAGGGGCCTAACTTGACTAAAAGTTTACAAGGAATCCATTGGAGGTATCAAAAGCAAATTTCGGGATCGTTTGGCATGAGAAGCGAGGCAGAATAGCTGGCAAAAAAATATATAAAATATAGGTTTGTTCATTTGATTATATTTTGAGTTGGGAAACTCAAATTTAGGCGATTTTGGAGGCAATTTTCACCATATGTATTGGGGTAAGTGCTCTCTACTAGGTTTTGGTTATATTTCATGAATCCATCTTTATTTTTTGCATTTGATTGATGATTTTTTTTTTGGCAATCCGCTAGGCAAGCGCCTTGGGCTAAATTTTTTATTAATAAATGAAAAACAAAAATACAAACAATTAGGAAAAGTATAAATAAGGTGGACAATAGCACATGTATTGTTACCCATATGGCTTAGCTATATAATCACTCCTCTGCTCCTCACATTGCCTTATGATGACAACCTCATATAGAGGATTCATGGTATAGCTGCCGGCAAAATCTCACGAGGGCATATAATCTCATAGCCGTGTGGATAATTTTCCAAAGGCATATGACCAAGGCAACACTAACCGTGCTAACCCTTACCTTACCAATCCTATTGAGGCAAAGATAAAGCCTCATCTTCTAGCAAGCATGTAAAAAATAGGAACTTGAAAGTACCAAGTACTCTATGATCGCCATAGAGTTTATAACATACTCTATGACGCTATTACAAGTGATGATGCTTTGAAAATGATAAACTAAGACAATGTAGAAATTAGAATCTTGCCTCTCATTTATCAAACTTGTGAGTTCTTCAATTTGAACTTCCTTAAAATCCTCTTTAACTGTCTTCAAATAATCTTCAAAGTTCTTCATTTGTTGTCGTATCTATTGGACTTCGTAGATTTGGAGGGGGAAGCCCCTTTTTTCTTTGCAGCTCTTATTGGGAGTTGCCTGAGTGTTATTTCTTGAGTCACCTTCTATTTTCAGTTTTGTTAGGAGCGAAATCTCCAGTTGTAGCCGCCTTTTCCGGACAAGATTCAATCAAGTCATCCTCTTTTGCTTCTTCGGAGATGGCAACGCGTAAGTTGGCCTCAAATTTTTGATTATCCTCATCTTGTATAACCATCCACAATGGTTCATTCCTCTTTAGTGTCTTTGCACTATATGGTTCATGTCTGTTTGTCACTGAAAATTTCAGCTTCAGTCCGGTCATTTTTGGGCATGATGAGTATGCACTTTTGTGTGGTTTTGGACTGCCCAAAGCATCCAGCAACTTTCTGTCCTCCAACGAAATAGCAGGTATATCCGTTACCATTACTACAGCTCCAGTCATGTTTGCATTAGACTGCTGCTACCCAGTCGTGTTTGCATTGGGCTGCTTCTGCCCAGTCGTGTTTGCATTGGACTGCTGCTGCCCATGATTAGTATTAACATCAGCTGCAGTTGTTGTATGTTACTGCTTCTGCCCAGTCGTTGTAACTTTTGTAAGTTGCTGCTTCTGCCTAGACAGAGTATTTATTCTTTTAAGAGCCAGCTTGTTTTCAGGTACAACAGATGTAGCAGTAGTATTGCCTTCATTATTTGGATCCTTTCGACTCTTGTTAGCTGCCTCGATACCTTGTATGTCTTCATTTTCTAATGGCACCAATTCTTCTGTCGTTAGTCCCTTTTGACAATGTGTGAGTGCCTGCATATGTTCCATTTGACCTTCAGAACCACCCAAGTGGTGGTTGCTTATTTTTTCATTACTGATAACAATGCTTGTTGCATTGTCATTAACACTTTGATGTTCCTCCTCATTTCCTTCATGGTTAGCTTCATCTTCCCCATGTATTCCATCTGGAATTTAGCCTTCTTCGGAGTCTTCTTCTGCTTGATCCTCCCATAGTTTGCTGCTAGTCAAAGCTAATCTATCTTTCTCATTCACCTGTTCAGATATACCATATGTATCCATGGACTGAGATGGGATATCTTGACACGATTGATTAGTGGTAACTAACTTGCTTCCAAAAACCTTATTAGCCCATTGTGCAGTAGATTCTTGTTGTGACTGCGATTGGTTCAAATTCTCTTTATCAATAAGCTTAAAAGCAGTAGCATTTGGATTTAACGGCTTCGTCACTTTTGATAATCTGTGTGTCTGAACAGTAGGAGTTGTTATTGTATTGGTAACATCTGCTGCTGCAATTACCTTCCCATTTGGCTCTATATTAGCTCTGTTATTTAGAGCATATGTTTCTCCTTTACCCATCATATGATTTCCTTCATTTGCATCACATTGTTCCATTTCTAGAACTGCAAATCCGTTCATAGTTTGAAACTGGTTTGTCTGCTCATCTTCGATCTCCAACTGTGCCAAAATATTAGTCTTCTAATTCTGATGAGTTACATTATTCAATGTAATTATCTCATGGCCAGTTTTGCTTTGAACAACATTCTCATTATTGACATGCTTCACACGATTGTTCTTCACCTCTTTCCATTGCCCTCCTATATTTCCAGTATGCTTTTGACCTGTGAGGATCATACTAGTTCCTGTAGCATTAGCCTTGCCCTTCAACGTATTCTGAATAGGAGTAGTGTCACTGCCCATGCCCTGTATCTGAGTGACATTGTCACTCTCTTTCATGTGGTTGGCATCTCTTATTGCATTCAACAATTGCCTTGCATCTCCCTGAAGCTTTTCTGCAGAAATTTGGTCCAAATCAGTTCGTATGTGTTTCCTCTGATTTTTCCTCTGCATATTTATTTCTCCCTTTCATCGATCGACATGAATTTTCATCATGTCCTTGGTGCTTACAACATGTACAATACATTGGAAGATGATCATACACAACCTTTTGGTGGAAATCAGTAGATTTTCTAGAAAGTTTGTCGACGACTAAAATCTTGGTTTTTTTTGGATGCTTATCCAGCAGATCCAACAACACCTTGACCCTCGCAGCACTTGGCCTTGTTCGATTTTTTGTCTCTTTTTCAATAGCTAGAGGTTTTCCAACTGCTGATGCAATTGACATCAAAGATATTTTGGCAAAATAATTTGGTGGAAGCTCTGGGAATGAGATCCATACCACTGCCTTCGACGTCTCTACTTTTGGATCGAATCCAATCGTCCAAAGAAATGTTCTAAAGAAGAACTCGTCTCCTTTGGAGATAATGTGCCCAGTAGATCTTGAAACAAAATTGACATAATCATCATAAAGATCAAATCGTACCAGTATGTGTCTAAACTCCAGCTGCCCGATGTTACAAGATCCTTTCACATCGAACTGATTTGAAAAAGTTCTTCTGAGATCGTGAAGTTCTGGTTTTCCATAAGAAAACTTGATGACGACTGCTTGGTGTAAACCTTCCTCTATGACAAATTCTTTCACCTCATCTATGGTGAATTCAATCAATGGTTCTCCGTGTTCAAATCTGACTGGACATAGCACTGTATTTTGGTTTTGTCGCACAGTTTCTTTTGAAACACTTGCTGCATAAGTCAATTTAGGGGGATTGTTGATCCCATCTGCTTGAAAATTTTGCTCTCCCATAGCCAAAGGATGGGGAGAGGTCAACGTTGCCATGGCTGCTTTAAACGAGTATGAAGAAGCTCGAATCGCCAGTTTCTCCTCCGATCATTTTTTCCCTGAAATTTAGGGGGTGGGGTTGAAGGGAATAATTTGATTGATGATTTCAAAGTGAAATTTGGGGTTTTTTGGCTAAAGTTTCATAAAGTGATTTTTAAATTTTTGAACATCGATTCAGAGTCAAAATTGGATGAAACTAGTATGGTTGGACTCATAATTGATGGGTTATTGGATTTTGTAAGTTTTGTAGGTTTCCGAGATACGAGCCCGAGTTGGGCTTTTTGGTCGATTTTGGGCTTTTGATTAAAGATTCGACCCTTTTCAATTGGGATTGGTTGTTTTAGCATTGTTTGATGTATTTGAGTTATTTTGGTTAGTTTCAAGCCATTCGGAGGTCGGAACACGCGATGTGGCATTTTTGGAGCATCGCTTGCCTTGCTCGGTATTGGAATTAGCTTGTTTGAGGTACGTAACGATTGAAAATCTAGTCCTGAGGGTATGAAACCCCTGATTTCACATTGTTTACTATTTTAAGGTGACACATATACTAGGTGACGGGCGTGCACCATTGGGAATTATGACTTGATCTGTCCCGTAGAAACTATAAGTTGCGTATTTGGTTGAAACTATATGATACTTACGTGTTTTAGAAAGAGTTTCTATAAATTGGGCTGAATGCCATGTTTGGGCCTTATGCCAGAGCTGTTTGGACCCTTAGGGGCATTTTGCTTACTATCCTCTCATTGTTTTTGATTGAAAATCTATACTCAGTCATGTTATACTTGCTGATTTCATAACTCAGTCTTTATTTCTCTGTTTTGATGCATATAAATGTTGTTTTGGGCTGAGTATCCTGTTTTTACACAGAGCCCGAGTGGCTTGAGAGGTTTATGACTGACTCAGGCCGAGGGCCTGATTTGTGAGGATATTTATAGAATCGGGCTGCACGCCATAGCATGTTTTACTGATTCATGATTGAGTGAGGTCGAGGGAATGATTTGTGAGGATATTTATGGAATCGGGCTGCACATCGCAGCATGTTATACTGATTCATGATTGATTGAGGCCAAGGGCCTGATTGATTTATGCCACGAGGTGTCTTGTTATAGCGCTTGGGCTGAAGGAGTCTCTCTGGAGTCTACATACCCCCAGTGAGCGTAGGTACCTACTGAGTGATGTTTTGCTAGAGGGGCTGTATATGAGTGATGGTGAGGTATGCCCAATGGTCTATATACAAGTATATGCGAGGTTTGCCCGAGGGGCTGTATATGAGTGATGTTTTACCCGAAGGGCTGTATATGAGTGATGTTTTGCCTGAGGGATTGTTTATGATTCCATCATTTTACTCACTGTTGCATTGAGCCTATGTTTGAGAACTGTTGAAAAATATCTTCAAATGATTTTACTGGAATTGAGTTTAAACAAAATGATCTGATTCAAACTTTGCTTTTAAAGCCTATTGTATTTTTACTGAGATTTCATGATATGAACTTTACATGCTTTATTGCTCGTCACTAATGCTCAATCTTTATTTACTTTGGTTACTTACTGAGTTGGTGTACTCACGTTACTCCCTGCACCTTGTGTGTAGATCCAGGAGTTTTTAGACTCGGTAGCGAGTGTTGATTGATCAACTGCAGATCCATCGGAGTTAGCAAGGTAGCTGCCTGGCGATCGCAGCCCTGCTTTCCTCCCTCTTATCTTCCTTTAGATGTATTTAGTTACTTTCCAGACTATGTTGGTCTAAATATTGTCTGATACATTATAGTTGATGGTCATGACTAGTGATACCCTGATGTCGGGCTTTTCTTTTCCGCACTTTTATTTTGAGTTGAACTCCTTATGAAGGTTTTATGTTAAGTAGCTTGGAATTTTCTTAAAAATTGAAAATATCATTTTGTTCTGGTAGTGTGACGGCTTGCCTAGTATCCCGATAGGTGCCATCACGACAGATTAGTTTTGGGTCGTGACAACAGTGCCAATTGGTATCAGTGACCCACCCCCTTTTTGTAACACTAAACAAAATTCTGCTCCTTGTAAAGTTCCTTAATATATAAAGTATGCACTTTTGTTGACCAAAAAAACGAAGAAGAAGCATTGACTAGTTAGTTATAACTATTACTGCAGTCATATACTTTAGGAGCCATGTAAATGATACTAATCCACTATCGAGTTTAGTTCCCAGTTCATCTCTTTCATCCAATATCTCAACTGAAAATGATTTTGAATACATGATCCCTCAAGAGTGCGGAACAGGAAAAATCTTCTTGATTAAGGGTGTGTTTGGTATAATGGAAAATACTTTCTTGGAAAACAAGTAGTAATCTTGCTCATTTTCCAGTGTTTGGTACGCAAACTAAGGAAAATAACTTCTCAAGAGAATTCCTAAATAATTTATATACAATAAACGTGAAGCCATAAACTTTCGAACCAACAATCTTCCGAATCCACAAATTTCATAAACTTCTGAACCGCTAAACTTTCGAACCCATAAACTCTTTAATTTCTAAACCCATAAACTTTTAAACACATAAACCTCCGAACTCATAACTTTGGAACTCACAAAATTTCGTACCAGTAAACTGAAAATATAAAAAAAAGTTACCGACCGGGAGGGGGGTGGTGGTGGTAAAAGGGTTGGGGTGGATAGCACAGAAAAATGAAAAAAATAGAAAATTGAAGTTGGAGGGGGTTGGGGTTAGATGTGAGGGTAGGTGGAGTTTTGTATTTTCTTTTCTCCATTTTCTTAGCTTTATATGAATTATCTCTACCATTTGAGTAAATTGAGGAAAGTTTCGTACCAGATGCAGATGGACCTAAAATATGAAATTGCTATTGAACATGTAATCTCATATGGAACTGCTTTTACCCATGAAAAAGGCATTAAGATGTTATGTCAATTACTTCATGTGATACTAATAACAATTGTCCTTATGAAGATCAACTTTTTACAAAATAGGTACTCCTATATTATTAGAGAAGAGAATTTGGAGAAAGATAAATGTGTTAAACCATAAAGAGAAGTTGCTTCAACAGAAGGAAACAACTACAATTACTGTAAACTTTCGACGGTGTATTATAATGATTCAGCTGATTGTTTTATGTATTTGAGCCTTGTTCCCCTAATTAATCCTTTCTGTACGTATGTTTGTTATTTTGTGACTTGTGGAGAAGGTTGGTTTAGTTTCGAGAGTGATTTGGAACACTTAATGTCATTTTTGGAAGCTTAAGTTGTAAGAGTTGATCAAGGTTTAACATTTATAAGAATAACCTTCGAATGGTACTTTTGATGGTTCCAATAGATTAGTATGGTGATTTTGGACTTAGGCATATGTTCAAAATTAGATTTGGAGGTTCCTATGATGTTTTGGAGCTATTTACTGAAAGTTGGCAATTTAAAGGTATGGAGAGTTCTTGAGTTTGTCCGAGGATTGACTTTGATGATATCAGAGTCGGATTGTTATTCCAAAACTTGGTATAGATTCATCATGTAATTTGAGTCACAGGATTACATGGTGTTTGGTATAGATTCATTCTGGATTGGTTAGGATTGAATCACAGGTTTAGTATGAGGTGTGAAGTTTAGGAAATTAAGAAATTGATTTTGGTAGGCGATTCTTGGTTTTGATATTTATTCATGGTGTTTTGAGCCCTTGGACAAGTTTGGATTAGGTATTGAAACTTATTGACATGATTGGATGGGGTCCTGGGTGTTCGGGTGTGTTTCGAGGTGGTTTCAGACCATTTTCCCTTTATTTTGGAT